CATCCCACGTCACCACCAGTGGAGCCCACTGCAAAAACATTCGTCATACTCATTTACCTTTGCCTCCAACCCCTCTCTCTCATTCAATGCCTTCTCAACCTAACCCGTCGTTTTCAGAGCCACTCTGCTATATAAACACTCCCTCTTTCCATTCTACTCTCACCACACCACCATGCCTTCCCCCTATGTCCCTCCGCAGCACCGCATCCCACCTTTCTCTCACAACTTCGTCCGTGGCGCCGCTAGGCCACGTGGCGGTGGGCGTAACGGTTCCGGCGCCCGGGGGTTCTCCCGGAACAACATGCGACCTGTGGAGGATATGCAAAGCCTCGAGGGAATCAACCTGGAGGCGTACGAGTCCGTCCCGGTGGAGGCGAGTGGGAAGGACGTGCCACCGCCGGTGAAGGCGTTCCATGAAACGGACTTGGACGAGGGTTTGAAGAGGAACATAGAGCGGTGCAAGTACGTGAAACCCACGCCGGTTCAGCGTCACGCGATTCCCATTGCGAGTGCAGGACGTGACCTTATGGCGTGCGCGCAGACTGGGTCGGGTAAAACGGCGGCGTTTTGCTTCCCCATCATTTCGGGGATTTTGAAAGGTCGTTCCGCTTCTGCTTTCTCATCAATGCCTCGCGCTGCCGCTGTTGCTGTTGCATACCCCACTGCACTTATTTTGTCTCCTACCAGAGAGTTGTCTTGCCAGGTTTATTTATTTTTTCTTTCTGTCTTTTGTCTTGTGCCGGAATTAACAATTAATTAAATAAATAATCATGTCAGCTTGTTCAAATATTATAGTTGCTTTAATATTTTTAATTTTTGTTAGATACGTGATGAAGCCAACAAATTTGCTAATCAGACTGGAGTGAAGGTTGTCGTTGTTTATGGTGGGGCTCCTGTTACTCACCAGGTGTGTGTTTTTGTGTGTTCTATTGTCTTTCTTTCCTTTGGAAAATGCCAAGGCACTGATTAAGACATTAAAAGTACTAACTTTTTTTTAAAAAGTGTATCTGTATATTTTTTTATTGTAATTTTTAATTAAAAAAATCGACATTTGAATTCTAAGCCAGTTTCCTAGTGTGCCGGTCAGTGAACACATTTTTTTAATGAATAAATGTTTGTCGTTTAAAAATGGGAACAGTTGCGTCTTCTGGAGAGAGGTGTGGACATATTGGTTGCAACTCCTGGGCGTTTGGTGGATATTATTGAGAGAGAAAGGGTTTCATTAATGAGGATAAAGTATCTTGCTTTGGATGAAGCAGATCGTATGTTGGATATGGGTTTTGAGCATCAAATACGCAAGATTGTGCAGCAAATGCAAATGCCCCCACCGGGTGTTAGACAGACTTTGCTGTTTAGTGCCACGTTCCCTAATGATATACAGGTATGTAATTTATTGCACTACCCCTACCTTAGTTTATGTTTGCTTGTAATTGCAAGAGTAATATATATATATATTTATTTATTTATTTATTTACATGCTTCGTTTTCTTTTTTACTGTTTATTGCTTTGTTTTCTCCCCTTTTGATATAGTCTTTCATTTATTGTCGCAGAAGCTTGCATCGGACTTTTTATCCAACTACATATTCCTGTCTGTTGGAAGGGTTGGTTCGAGTACCGAACTGATTGTGCAGAAGATTGAGCTTGTTCAGGATATGGATAAAAGGGATCATCTTATTGATCATCTTCGTCGCCATGTTGTCAAGGGAGCCAATGGGAAGGTTAGAAGTGTTTGTTTTCTCGAGGGGCAATTGTTTAATAAGTGCTGTTTATCGGATAATGGATTTAATTTAACTGTTTTCGCAATGCAGCATGCTTTAACTCTTGTATTTGTTGAAACAAAGAAAGGAGCGGATGCTTTAGAAGACTGGCTATCCAGAAGTGGGTTTCCAGCTATTGCGATACATGGTGACAAAGTTCAATTTGTAAGCATATTATTCTCTAAGGTTCTTGATGTCTTCGTTCGTGCCATGTTTCAAAAAGTTTTACTTTCTTGCTTATTGAAAATTACACTTGCACCCTTGATACTTCTCCATCTTTTTTGTCCCTGTATTAATCCGAAATACAATATACCAACACTCCAACACGTTTCACTGTCGCCCGTTCATAGCCAATATACAAGAAACACGTCATATCATGCTCTTAATAAAGTGGGTTGGTGTATATTTTAATAATGCTGATGGAGTCTCCTAAGGAAGCTTCAAGGGTGTATCCTTATAAAGGGTGTTGGTGCATATCTTAAAATAGCAGAGGGGTCATGTGTACTCTTAAGTAGTGTCAGGGTTGTCAGTGTTGTAGCTTGCTTATTGTTTATGGTTTTAAGTTCTAATGCATTAATTATATGCTATGTTTGTTTTATTTTATATTTTTAATGGAGTGATGCTTGTTAAATTCTGTGTTTTAGGAACGGGAACGGGCCTTGAAATCTTTCAAATCTGGTAATACTCCGATTTTAGTTGCGACTGATGTTGCTTCGCGGGGACTGGATATCCCCCATGTGGCACATGTTATAAACTTTGACTTGCCTAGAGACATAGATGACTACGTGCATAGAATTGGAAGAACAGGACGTGCGGGGAAATCTGGTTTAGCCACTGCTTTCTTCAGCGACAAGAATAGCCCTATTGCAAAGGCTCTTGTGGGACTCTTGCAGGAAGCTAAACAAGAAGTTCCGTCTTGGCTCAACCAATATGCTGAGTATACACCATCTGGTGGACGTGGTCGTAGTTTTGGAGCTCACCGTTACACCAGTGGTAGTTATGGTGGTCGTGATTTTCGTAATGCCACCGAACCTGAGGTGCAGAACTACAACTGCTATAGTACCTATGGCAATGCGAATCATGCTATGGAGTTTTACTCTGACACCACGTACACTGATACCTCTTATGACATACAGAACTCCCATAGAGATTCCTCTTTTGACAGTTTGAATGAGGCTTCTGCCCGCCGCAATTATTATCAGACTGGTGTTAACTCAGGTGTTGACTTATATGGTGTTGTGGTGGAAGAAGATGGGCCATGTGGTTATGAATCTATCGTTGCCACTGGTTGGGATTAGGCTATTAGAGCCGCAAGCTTAATCTTTTTTTCTTTAGATGGGTACAGTACTAACATAATACAGTGATGATATGGGAGTGGAAGTTGGTAGCCATCAAGTTTCGGGTAGTAAACAGATGCAGATATGAAAACAATGTTTTGGATTTTTCTTTTAGCTTGGGACCCATGCATGACAGGATAGTAATTTTGGATCCTACTGTTTTGTTGGTAATTATGCTTTTTGGTCTTTAATTATAGAAAATGGTGAATAACTTATGAATTTACTATCTTTTTTGGGTAACATATTTGTAAGAAACATTGAATTTTGGATTATTAATATATTATAATATTTATGTAAGTAGCAGTTAAAAAACTAGAAAAAAAACTAAAATACTCTTTTTATATAAAAGAATGAGTTAATTATCTATAAATTGTTAGTTAGTGTAGAGTTTTTTACAAAAATAAAAATTATATCTTTTAAAGTTGTTTATTTTTTTATTATTTTATTAAATAAGCAATTAATATGACACTACTAAAAAAATATGATTAGTTGTCTGTATAAATTTTGTTTTGTTTATGTATGATAGATGATTAACTCTAAAAGAAATTATATATATGATGCATATAAGTTTTTTGATGTGAAATGACTATTATAATTATTTAAAAATTTGTAGCCTTATAATCAGATGTTTGGAAATGTTACGTGATAACTTTTTATAAAAGAATTATTATTTTATTTTCTTATTTGACGATTTAATTTTGGATCTAAATTGACTTTCGGATCAAAATTAATTTTGAAGTGAAAATGTTTTTAAATTTTATTTATTGTTTAAAGTTTTTATTCATTTTAAATTTTAATAATATTCGGAAATAAGAGATGATTTAAGAATTTATTATTATAATAGCCTCTAAAATATATGTAAGTGTAACTGTTTCGGTCCGGAGTCAATAACGAAATGTCTAAAATTTTTCATAAAATATTTGAATTCTGTGACGTTATGAAATGAAATGTATAAATTTCAAAACGTTAAGTGGTAAAACTTGTAAAACATAAATAACAAAATGTCCAAATAAGATTATTTTATTATTTATTAATATTTTAATTTTAATTTTTAATATACTCATGTCGATATATCATATATGAACATATAATGTATGTATTAATATTTATTTATTTTTTCAACGAAGTCAAATAAAACTACTGAATTTCAACTATTTTTGGCATCCTAAAACCCGACTATAAAGCAATAATATTACTGAAATATTCATTATTATAAAACGTATAAAGAAAAGATTCACATAAATTTTAATAACTGTCACAACTACCAAAAATAACAAAATTCAATAAAATAGCGATTAAGAAGCATAATTCCCTTTTAAAAACATCTCATTTACATACTTTACTTGCAAATGATAAACTCGAACACAACAAATATTATAAAGTGTTTATGTCATGCCCGAAGTATAGTAAAAAGCAGTAGATTAAATATCTGTACATGAAAGTAATAAAGCATTTTTACATTTTATTTATTAATCTTCAATCTCGTATTTACAATGCAATACAATTTCTAATAATTTATTTCATAGTATCAAGGTAAAATATTTGAAAATGGATTAGGAGAATATGCAATTGCCATATCATCTTAACTTAAAATACAACAGTTACTTAACTTAAAATACAATAGTTATTACACTCAACTTGTAAGTTACCTTTAATGATTTGATAAAGTCACTTAATTATAGTACATCCTAATTCATTTTGTAACAGCCCAATTTTTACTGGGCCAAGAGCCCAATTAAGGTAGTTTAGTAGTCCAGAACGGACCGTTTTAAATTACTAAATAGACCTTTTTTGGTAGCCCAGAATGGGCCGTTCCGGATTTGGAACGGACCGTTCCAAACCATTAAATTTGCCTATGATTCTTAGTTGGGAACGGGACGTTCCGATTTTTCAGAAATGGCCTTTTCACCTAGTTAAGAACGGGCCGTTCCAAAATATGACCGTTGTAAGTATTAAATGCACCTCAGAACGGGCCGTTCTGGTTTGAGAACGGGCTGTTCTGGATGTGATTTTTACTCGTGATCTAAGGGTCCAGAACGGACCGTTCCGAATTTGGAACAGGTCGTTCCGGAGACATCTGATGCTATAAATAGAGCACTCTGGCACTCCTAAAAGCACACTTTTCACTTCTCTCTTCTTTTCTTCTTTGCTCTCTTCTTTTCCTTCTACACTCTCTAAAGACTGAGAGACACTCAGAGGAGGAGACCAAGGAGACGTCTCTTTTAGTTTCAGCTACTGTTTATCTAGATACGGGAAAAAGGGAATTATTTATATGTAGAGTTACATGAGAGTCCCTTAGGATTATGAGTAATTTTATAATTATTTTTGTTTGGAGAATTATTGGTCTTATGTGATTCTATATGTATTTAGGACTATGAATATATGATTAATTTGTAAAAATGATGCTCTGAGAGAGAGAACGTAATTATAGAAAAGTGAATGTTAGGTTTTGGAAAAAATTGGATTATTTCTGTTTGAGAAATTGATGTTCCTATTAGATTATGTATGTGTTGAGGATTAAAAATATATATTTAATTTGTAAGAATGATGATCTGAGAGGGAGAACGAAACTGTAAAAAAATACCTGAGTTAGGTTTTGGAATAATTGGAGGTTTTACCGTTTATGTTAAGATTATATTAAATTGATAATTCCATTAATTATTATATTAATTTATTAATTTTATTACTATATTACTTGATGAAAATATTTAGATGTGAATTGCTTGAGGTGTATGAAACTCATTATTTTGGACTGATCTGATTTGTGTATGGAATTGAACTATGAGATGTTGTGTAGAACGTGTATGAGATGTGATTGTGGTTCTTCACACCTATGACCAGGGGTGAGCACGGCCCGAGATTGTTACATGAGTATCGTGACCTTGGTTAACATGTCAGGGGTGAGCACGATCCTGGGTTAGGGGTAACGTGACCTTGGCATAGTGTTATATCAGGGGTGAGGACGGCCTGAGATTGTTACATGGGTATCATGACCTTGGTTAACATGTTAGGCGTGAGCACGATCCTGGGTTAGGGGTAACGTGACCTTGGCACAGTGTTATATCAGGGGTGAGCACAACCTTGGATTGTTACGTGGTTATCGTGGACCTTGAATAACATGTCGAGGGTGAGCACGACCCTGGGCTAGATATGCTACAGGGGAATCGTGACCTTGACACAATGTTATATCAGGGGTGAGCACAACCTTGGATTGTTAAATGGGTAGCGTGACCTTGGCATAGTGTGAAGTACGAGATTTGTGATGATTAGTGTGATTGAGAATTATGACGTGATGACGATGCATGATTGATTGAAATACGATATGTTGAAATATTTATGAATATTAATATAATATGTTGTGTTTTCTTATGTGCTATATATATAAATGTTTAGGGTTTAGGTGAGGAAGATCCGGCTATGAGTGGCATCTAGAATGTCAACGGTTGAATTGTGGGTATGCTCTGATATTGTGACATCGGGGCAGAGGATTTATAGGACTTGAATTTTTATATGGATTTGGAGTTGTACTTATTACTTTAAAAATAATTTGTAAACTCTTACATTTTATTTTTCAACGTTCATTTTCAATCATTTTGAATATTGAAGAACATTTGTGAATGTTTTTATGTGAACCCTTTTACGAGTGTTGAAAAATTTATTTCCTTAATTTAGTTACATTATTATGCTATTTGTATTGGGGTAGTAATGGTGTCACACACTTGAGAACATGGATCATATATTGAAATTTACTCATCAAATATAGTGTCCTTCAGGGATCAGGGTTAACAACTTTTCTAGCCTCTAAATTTAGAGGCTCTAATAGCCAAGTTCATTAAACACTTTCCTAAAAACATACTTTCCTGTCATGATGCATGATGCATAATAACAAAATGTGCTAATGTTCTCATAAGATTTCACATGGAGGCACTTACCTCTAAAGGCGAGGCCTTTATTCAATTTCACATCATAACAGTACATGACATTTTATCATTCATCTTTAGTCATAACATGCTCATAAATCAACACATTGTTTTAGTATTAATTTAAATATCACAATCATTATCAAATCAAACCATAGTTATCCAGATTAAAATAAAGGGTTCCCACTTAATGTAACCTATTTGCATTTAGCATCACCACACTTAAGATCACACAACTCTAGCTTAGTATTAGAATCACAAAGATCAATGTTGTTTTTGTGACTTTCCCTTTTCTAAAATGTTTTTCTCTAGCGGATAAGCTGAATGTTGATGGTATTAGTAGATGCATCTTTCCTTCTCAGAATATAAGACTTATAAAAAAGACATCAAATTAAAATATTTTAATTTTAGAAGAGCATAATTTTTTCAACCTTTTCACTTCTAAAATCATTTTTTTTAACCGAATCATGTGAAGTTGAATTTTCTTTGCAACCTCCTACATCTGACCATTGAATCATATGAGACTTTCTTTGCCTTAAATATTTCTTCTCTTTAGCTTTCTCTATTTTTCCAAAATAATTGACATTTCAAAAAAATTTAAAATCTAATTTTTAACTTTTTTCAATTATACCCTTACTTATTAGGTACTTCCTCCGTCAACTGTTCACTTATTTTTTCTTATAAAAAATGATAATGAAATATTCAATAAGGACTTTTTAGTCCAAATATACACCTACTAAATATTCATCAATGTTTATTGATTTTTTAGTCCAAAAGATTAAGTAAAAAAGAATAAAACAAAAGATTTGAGGTGGCAAATAGTATTATTTTGTTTTTGAACATGTAAATTAAATTTTATATAATATAAATATTTGTTAGTATTTTTCTAACCAATAAACTTTTATTTGTATTTAAAATAACATGTTATTTTTCAAAAATAAAGTAATGTGATGAAATATTACTTTTTTTTATGTGTATGAAACTAACATTTTAGAATAAGATAAATTTTTATTTTTTAATAATTAAAGTTTATAAATTTTTAGATATACAAATTATATCATAATTAAAAAATTAACAAATAACATTTTAAATTTATAATAAATAATTTATATTATGATACAAATTTATTTTTAACTATCGAAAAATTTTAAAAATAAAAGAAATGATAGGTCAAAAGATTACGAGGTTATTGAAAATTTATTTAAAAAATAACTAAAAATGCTATAATTAAAAAATAATTTCTAAAAATTTTCACATTCACGATAATTATTATAATTTATTTATACTAATTTATAAAAAGAAATATTTCTTCTCAGTACTTTTTTTTCACATATTTTAGACTATTACACCTTTAATTATTTTAAGAAAAGGAAGAATCAAATTTTTTTTAGTAACTACCAACTCTCTAAATACCATCCAATTCATTATTTATTAATTTTTTATATATATTTTAATTTATATAATGCATAGGTTAAAAATTTATTATATAACTAAAATTTATAATAAATTATATATATATAAATACTATGTTTAAATATATAAATAATCTTTAAAATTTGTATAAATAGATATTCTTAAATATATAAATTATATTATAAACACTATGTTTAAATATATCAATAATCTTTAAAATTTGTATAAATAAATATTCTTAAATATATAAATTATATTATAAACTTATAATAAATAATTTATATTATAGTATAAGATTATTTTTATTTATCAATAATTTATTTTAAAATATTAAAATTTAATAAATGAATAACTATAATAAATAAAAATCAAATTAAATAAAAGGTTACAAGAATTTCTAAAAACTCTATCATTTAAGAAAAATTTCTAAAAAAAATACTCTCACGTAAGAAAGAAGTTAGTATTTAATATATTGGAGATTATTATTAACAATTTATTTAAAAATTAAATTTTAATTCAAAAATCATATGAAATAAATTCAAATAAATAAGTGATTATGCTCTTGTTGACATGTTTGCTGGTAAGGTAAGATACAGCACTAGAGATGCTTTTAGAGCATCTTTAATGGGGTTGCTTATAAGCAATTCCCTGTGCCACATCATTGCCACATCAGTTCTGGCCCACTTTATGAGTTGCTTAAATTTAGCAGTTGTAGAAGAACCACACAGGGTCTATGTAATTCTGTAACCACGCGTTGTCACAACATTGAAAGTAATACAACTCTTACAAGTTTGTGTATTCTCAGCCCAGACCATATGGAAGACTATGATAACAAAATAAATCAGTGTCTACGTGATCAATACAACCCTGGTTGAGATGCTCAAATATGCAAGGAAAAGCAAAATCTGCATAACCAAAAATTAGCTCAACAAATTATTTCCCTCTTCCTAAACAAAATCAATACCAACAAATCCCGTAGAAAGAATCTGCAGTGATCCACTTGTTACTAATCTTGTTCATGTTCAACAAGTATCCTCTTGCAAGCTTCGTAGCACATGAAAGAAATACCAGCAGCAGGAACTAATTTTAAACAACTTGGTCCTAAACCTCTATATAGACCAGCCACCCCTTCCTTTTCAAGTATACTGATGAGGGCATGAAGCATGTTACTATATTGTCTTCCATTTAGAGCCCCAGCTTGCATATGCTTGCGTGCCACCTCAAGTGGAAACGTTGCACTGCTTGAAAAAGCACCAGCAGCTGATCCAATTAGAAGAGTCATGACATTCCCTATGTCCTCCTTGTTGAAAGCTTTCTTGTAAGCTTTTCTTAGTGTGTCATAAGCAAGATAGTTTGTAGCAGCATAAGGGATTACACCAATCAGACTAGGGGTCAGGCCTCTGTACAGTTCTGCCGGACCTTCCTCTTTGATAATTCTCACAAATGCATCTAGTAAGTTCTTGTACACCCCTCTCTGCAATTTGAGTAGTGACATAAATTTACATCACTTGGGGCAGAAATGAGAGAAAGGTTAGCAGAGATGTATGAGTGCATACCTGGACGGTGAGACGAGTTTTGAGTAGTTCAAGAGGGTATGTACATAGGGTAGAGCTAAAACCAGCAACAGCACCTGCAATTGATGAGGCAGGAATTGGGAGTTTTGGCTGTTCTCCATGTTTAGGAGATATTTGCTTCTTGACTGTGTCATACGCGAATAACTGCATGTTCCACCAGATGTCATTAACGCATAAAATGAAATTTTAGGCTTCAAAATGAAATGATGGACTCCTAGTTGAGCAAAGTAGAATAAACAGTGGTATTGATGGAATTTTTCTGTCTGTCAGACAGCATTGAAAAACAAAAGTGATGAATAATATATAATAAAGTAATAATACACAACAATTTGTACAACATCACATTTTTTGTAATGGAGAGAGATAGAAGCAAAATAATATTATACAAATTGTTATATGAATTTATTGTACAAATATCATTTCCCTTTCAAAAATAAAAGTGATGTCACTGTGTGTTAAACTATAGATTCATAAGACAACAGTTCATGTCCATTCCTTAGTCACCTTCCAGCTAACTAGGCCATAATTTTATTTTTTGAGGATAAGAAACCAATGAATCAAGTCAAACCAAATAATGGAAACATGAGATAAAATTTTTAGTAACATCAGATATCAAAAAAAAAACTCTCATCTATGATGATATCTACTAATCAAAAACATCTGGTTTACTTACCTCAATGGCCTTGCTTGGTGCAACTCGGATGATGTTCACAAAATTGCCTCTGAACAAGCCCTTCCATCCATCAGTCTCCATAATAGATTGAAAAACTTGAAGTGAACTATGTCCACAGCTCCCCACCATCAAATGGGTCCTTATGGTCTCCAAGGGTGCCACTGCAGTCCTTGACACTGCACCAGCAATTGCCCCACTCATCAACCTTCTCAATGATGGATTCCCAATCTTAAACTTCAATTTAAACCCTCTCAACTTTTTTTCCCTCTTCATGTCATGGCCTTCCTCATCAACTTTGAAAGCCTCACCACTCAACAACCCTTGAAACCCCGTGGGTTTAAAACCAGCTTCAGGCATTAAAACATACTTCATGGAAGAATTTGCCAACGGAGGTTTGGTGCTGTTGTCTCTAGTACTTGCTGTTGGAGGATTTGGTGAAATCCCGAAGCCAAATCCTGCTTGTCCAACGCTTGCAAATAAGCCACTTGGATGAACTTTACCCTCAAGTGAATCCCATTCAAACTTGATTCCAGAACTACATATTGATACATCTTTGTAACCAGATTCAACCCTTTGCATTTGCAACCTACCTCTACCCATGAATCTTAAAACTAATGTTAGGAACTGCTTCTCTGCTTAGAATTGAAGCTTTGGAAGCTTTATAAGAATAGAGATGATTAGTAACAAATGGGCGTGCAAGAATATACGAATTTATGAGATGACATAAACCAAGTTAGATGAAAATGAATATTTCAACGGGAACAACGAAGACCAAGCCAAACAAGATATCGAATTGAGGAATAAAGATAAAGTATAGAATTTTTGTTGGGCGGAGAATTTTGACGAAGAACACAAGCCAGAAACTCCGTCCCTATCTCTTTCTCTGCCTCGGCAACGAAGACTAAGAAGAGAAGAAAAGAGATGGTGTAATTTGCAATGCTATGCAAGCAAATTCAGATTTGTTATTAACGTACAAAATTCAGAATTATCCAGTTTCTTTTTGTTGAAATAAGGTGATCGTTGTCCACAAAAGTTGGATAAAACTGATGTAACTCAATGACTAAAAAACAGACACTCACGAGTCACGATTTATGTTTGTCTTGTTCACAAGGAATCTGCAAAAATAATTTGTCATGTGAACACGTAATAGTTAATTACGGAGGGACTCTTTTTGTCTTAATAAAACTATAAATGCAAACGTATGTGATTCATACATAAGAAGTCGGTTGTTTTGATGGAAGCCTAACAACGACATGCTAAATAAAGAACATGGATTAAATGGTTCTGGCTTACATTTTAATAGTCCGTACAATTTTTTTACACTACTATACAATCAAGTTCATTCTTATTATAAATTTTAGGATGATTATTGTAAAGAAAGAAAAAAAATACTTATCTCTCATTGTAGTGATTTTTGTGATCCGGTTTTTTTATCCGGATACTTTTATGTGATTGAAACACGGTTAAAAAACTTTACTTAATCATCAATATTATTTATTCAATTACTCCATATTTAAGCATGATAGGAAATTAAGCGTTTTTCTTGTCTATTAAAATTTAAAAGAGCTAATTTAATTATATATGGTAAACAAAAAGGATGGCAAATGATAGATGAAATAATCGTCTACAAAACTTGAAACCAGTAAACAGAGTTTCCGAGAACTCTACAACCTTCTATAAAATCTAAACTATTTTCCTTTCGCCTTGCTTTTCTTTAAATTTCCCTTTTTAAAAGACTTCTTCTGAGTTTTCAAATTCTTGTCAAATTTCTTGTCAGATTTCTTGTCAGTAGCTGAAGCCTTCCCTTTCTCACTCCTTCGTTTCTTCTCTTTCTTCACAGTGTGCACTGTGACAGCCTAGAATACACGATACAATGTTAACAAAAAAAACAGTTAACAAAACTTGGTAAATTTGTAATTTAAGTCACTGGATGACTCTAATGTACCTTTTGAACGTTGAGTATGTCATGAGAATTCTTGGACATAATCTTGTTCAATATTTTTTCAGTTTGCTCCCTCTCCAATGATCCTATTCCGGTTCCTTCCACCACTGGCAGGAACTAGATGAAAACAGACCACAGTAAGTTAATTAGCCAATTTAGTTATAGATGGGTGCTTCTTCATATAACAATCTACATGGACAAGAGAAAGAGATATCTGTGAGAGCACAGTGCACAACCTTCCGATATTTTCCTTTATGTTGCGCAGGCTTTTCACCTGCCAATTTTTTATCAAATTTCCCGCCGCTGGCTGTTGCAGTTGCTGCGAGTCCTGCTACATTACCTAGTTCATCCTTTGTAACTTTCTTGGGTGCTGCCTGAGTTCCTGTTATAGGCAAAGCTGTAGCAGCCAACTGAATATGGCTGCATAATAATTTGTTCAGATGTCATTGCAAGAAAGAACATAACATGAATATGTGCAACAAGAAATATAATAAACATACATATTAAAGAAAACAAAAAGCACTAGGCCAAAACCCTTCAACAAACTCGTCAAAAGTTGACATAATTTATTGAGAGGCAGATGCCAGTAGAGATTATTCAGTTCTCCCAGAGTTGGGGATGTTACCACATGTGAGCAAACACATAAAAAATCAAATCTACAATTAAGTTAAGATGCCACCAATAACAAGGATAAGATTTCCCATTGAGATTTGAGAATCCGTATACCAGCAAGCAAAAGTATTCAGGGCTTTGGAGTATCTAACAAATAAAAAATAGTATCACTGTTGACCAAGACAATAGCATAAAAAGAAAGTGTATATCTCAACAAAAGAAAGTAGGCTATGGCTCAACTGGCCAGGGTGAGATATATGAATCCAATGGACAAATAAAAGGCTAAGGTCAGACCCCGTCTCAGTCTTCATTTCAGGAATGAATTCAATATTCCACAAAATAAACTATTCACACAACTATATAAGCTAATGATGTATACTGTGATGATCAGTAGCAAGAAATCCCAAGCCACAAAATCTTCAAGGTTGAATGGACTATGGAGAAAGCTATATTACAAACCTGGGTAAAGCACCAAATTTTGCAGCTTCTTTCAAGTTCTGTAATCGATTTTTCTCCTGTTTTTCAACTCTTTGCTTCTTATTTTCTTTTCTTTTGGCAAAAGGATCCTCTGCTGGATCTGCAAAATGTCATAATATCAATTACTCATATGCCATACTTATAGCTCTGATTAGTGTCCAAAATATACCCCAAGAAAAATGTGAATTACAAGTATACACTCATCAAACTAATATCTAACTTGTTCTAGATTATCACATGCAAGAATCTTCATATCCAAAAATATCAATGACCCCAAAAGTAGTAGGAAAATAAATCTACAAATTATGAAATTTTAATCGATGGGTATTCCATTAAAACATGTCTGGTGTAATGCTCCTAGAAACCCACAAGGTCAACTGTATGTTATGATTAAGCATTGACCAGCCTTGATATATCTAAATGTTTGTATCTCAAGGGTCAATGGTATTCTAAATCAGATTTCTTATAAATTTGTACCACTTGAGTACACGAGCCTTGTACAGGCCTACCAAGAATTGTCTTATGCTAAAATTTTAATCTATTCCTAACATTTGTACATGTTAAAATCGTCCTAGGGTTCAAAAGGGAAAACTCAGAGAAGAGCATCTACACATTATACATGACCATTAACAGAAACATAGTAGCAAGACAGGAGGAAAGGCAAGTTCATTTATTTACCATCAGTTGCTTTTGCCTCAATGATAGGCACAGCATCTTCATCATTTGCACGATCATACCCATATCTGCGTTTCCACGTCCCAGTTTGTTCGTCATACACAATCTTATCTTTCTTCCGATTCTGTATGCCTGCAAAAAAACACAGGATAAAGATTCAGGGGTTCAACAAGTAAAAAAAATCATAAAAACAACACTAAGCACAACACAGACTACATAAACAGCATCGAGGTTACATGCATTAAATCACTTGAGAGTTAAATGTACAGCATGAGCAAACTAACCTTTCTTTTTGGCAAAAACTTCCCATTTAGTAGGGGGCTTTGGTTTTGGCAGCTGAAAGCATTACAAAAATTGATTAGTTTGACTGATTAGACACAAAAAATACCAGAAGCACAGACGACAGAACCAAGTATAGAATCAAAACAAGTGTAAAGCTAATAGCAATGCATACTTAACCCTTAGAAAGTTGCAACACAATGGGAAAAATAATTAGGATTATGAACAAGTAATAATTAACAGATTACATAATTTACGAATTTAAAAGAGGAATAAGACATTGGAGTGCATGATTACATGTTTTTCTCTTGGTAATTTAGTTAATGGCTGAGGCAAGTTAACAAGGGGTCCATCTACATCTTCGGTTGATGGTAAGGTAAAGAGGGCATCTGCGATAGCTTGAACCAAGTGTGTGCCTTTGAGTAAACTCTGCTTGACGAGTTCCTCCCTAAGTTCAATAAAGCAGTGTCAGAAAACGAAAAACAACACGAAGGAGAAGGAGAAGGCGAAGAAAAAGATAGCGTACCTAGAAAGAGGTGGTTGAGAAGGGAAGCTGTGAGTGGAGTCGAAAGCCATGAGGTTGCCGAGGTCCACATCGAAGTTGTGTTGCATCTCGACCTCCATTTGCGTCACCTTCAACTTCAACTTCAACTTCAACGAATCAAACCAATAATTAACCTAAACGGTGTCTACGCACCACAGCCGCGTTGGGTGTGAGGGTTTATTCAGATTTTTGGTGTTGTACAAGAATGAAGACACACCTTTGGGTTGGGCTGCGTCTTCTTTAAATATGTGGCTCAAACTGGCCCATCCCTCTTGATCAACCCAACAATAGAACCCAGGCCCAAATTGACTGTACTCATCGGCTGAGTACTTTACAAACTATTTCGGAGCTTAATTAAATTTATTTGATTCATTGAAAAACTTCAAATTTTTCTGAAGACAAATTTAACATTAAACTTGTTTTTATAAAATGCGTAAATCCAAATTATATTAGATGGGCATTAAGTTGTCATGCTCATTGTTATAGAGTGTATGTAGGAACAAGATTGATTAAAATCAAATATTAAATTTTTGTAAAATGAGATTTCACTTATTATGGAAGTGTTTGAATTAATTAACCTTAATTTTGATAAAATTAAGCACGTAAAATAAAGACCAAATCAAACACTTCAATAAATAAAAATTAAAAACAACACACAAGGGAGGATGGAGAGAAAAGACAATGTATACTTTAATTACGAGTGAGGTTTTTCTTGAATCTATACACCATTGCCACAAAAATTTAGAGAATTTATTTACATAAAAAAAATTAAAATTATTTCCACTCAATAAAAAATATAAAAAGTGTTCTAAAAAAATTATATACACAATGTTATTCAACAAAAAAATAATAATAATCATGTGTTGGAATGAGAAAATAAAAATAAAAATTATCGAGCTCGTAGAATTTTTTTTTTTAAATCCAATATATCTTTGATTCTTTGTCATTTTAAAATAATTATTACAACATACAATTTACACCCTTTTATTCTCTTCATATTTCTATTTTATTTTTATTTTATTGCTTTTATGATATTTTTAAACGACTCATTTGTTGACACCCATCTCTCTCCCTCACCCTTTTAAAACCTTTTATTTTCCCTTGCCTCCAACTCTCACTATATATATATATATATACCAATGGTCTTCTACTGACTCTCATGCATGCTGAGCTCCTTTGTTCCTACTCAGTATTTTAGCAGGAAGTGACATCTGAAGACATGATGCACTTGCTCGAGGCAGTGCAAATTGACCACCATGACTTTTTTTGCTATGCTAGATTCACAGTTATATTCTTGAACTGATTGCTGAATTTTCTTCCTTGTGTTTGTGCACGTGCAAAATGCAGACGGGAGAGGCAGTGTCCCCCAAAGCTTACCCTTTGGTTGATGCCCAATTCACATAACCATACTACATGCAGCTCAAAAAAGGTGCTAATGAAGGTAACTACCGTGTGCCAAGTAAATTTACTTGTTGCATTGCTTGCACCCACTAAGACCCTTAACAGAGGTATCTCTCAATTCGTTGTCATGGTTGCTGATACTCATGGGCCCCTTGAGATTCTTCTCCTTCCTCCTCTACTTGCTGATCGAGGATAAGGTATATATATCTTAATTTTCTTATCTTGTGTATTCTTCCACGTAGCAGCGGTGCGTTTGTTGTTTACATTTGCATGTTCCATTGTGTTTGTGTGGCAATTGTGTTTTGACATGTTCTATTTGAGTTTCTTTGCTATAATTTACTATTGCTTGTATTGAGACAGTTGGACGCAAACGGGATGGGTAAGAGAATCCATATCTGTGATCCCGTCTTGGTATTAGTATCTTATATTCATCTCTATTGTTGAAATTTAATAGGTATGAAATTTATGTCATTATTTTTATTGGATATTAAATATACTTATTCTTGCTTTCATCTCATATTTATTCAGAAATTAATTAAATATTTTTTTAGAAAAAATATAAAAACAAGATTTTTAATATAAAGTAGCGGTTATAGAATTATATTAATTAAATTTCATAGGACATAAATTTAAAATAATTTAAAAAATTATATAAATCTTAAGTAAATTATAAAAAAAATGAAATTTAAAACGAAGATGGGACAGAGATGAGTATGGAGTGGATAAGTATATACTCATTTCATTCCCGTATCTAATTTAATAAATTGGGTATTACTCATACGGATAATAAATAAACCCGTATCTGTAAGTAATACTCAAATTCGTCCTGACTTTGATGGAAAATACTCTGTTTGATCGAATACGGATACGAATAAAACTCAAAATATTAAACAGAGGACAAGGACGAGTATATACTTACCTGCTCCATCCCCATCCATGTCTGTGTCATTATCCCTGATTTAATACTCGTCCCCGATTTGATTGCTTTAAAGAAATTATGTGTAATTATTTATTATGATGTGAAACATTTTTGGTTATTTAATTATTAAGAAGTCTCTTGATTAAAATATGAGATAAACAAATAACCCAATTATAATTGTAATATAATAGAAAGATAAGCTAAAAATATGGTGTGTTTTATTTTACAAAAAAACTTAATTAATTTTTTATGAGTACGGGTATACCCAATACTTGATAAAAACGAGGATAAGATGAAAATTACATATCCAACGGTACGAGGACAATTATTCATACTCATATTTATGTTCACTCAAAGTTCAAATAAATTTGAATATGACTCACGAGTACAGATTTATTTGTCATTCTTATTTGAACTTCATGTTTTATTTTATCTTCAAGGTTAGTTTTTAGTTTTTTTCACCATGTGTAAACAGGAAAAATAATGCTCTTATAATTACTTAAATATTATTTATGACCTCAATTTTTAAAATCCAAATGCAAAGACAATCGAAAATTTAACACATGTTAAAAAAATTAACTAAGTGTACTATATATATCATACATGATTATAAATTGTCCTTAAATATCAGTTTGCAGTAGAAAAAAGAACTGATAAAGGTCACAATCCTTAATAAATGGAAGTTCACAATTTAATTTTGAGATTTTAACAAAATAAGAAAAGATAATAGAGATAGAATCAAGGAAATTAATGTATTAATTGTAATTAATTTGTTTTTTTATAATAAATTTTAATAATTTAGTTATGTAAAAAAAAATTATATATTATAGACTATTTTTTTTTTGTGTGTGCCTCTGTAAATAGGGCTATCGGCTGTCACCCCTCCCGCTGGGGCTGAGACGGCCTTTGTGTTATAGCTTTGCCAAGTTTCTTTATATCAGTATATAATCTTCTACCCTTTAGCTTGTAGCCTAGCTAATTGCACCACCTAATGCCTGGTTTGGTTTCATGTGAGATTTAGTGCTCACTCTCACACCCAACTTATTCTCCATGTGATCTCACTACGTTTCAACACTCCTGAATGTTTGTTTTAACCCACCCATATATATAGCAAAAATTAGTGTAATGAAAATGAATCACATCTATCAACATGAATGCTCTGCATAGACATAATATTGGTGAAACTTAGATAGCTTTGCAAATCTTTCTTGCCAGTGTTGCAGATTGGTACAAAGCTAGTTATCTTAACCATTCCAGCAACCCAGCTGATTTGTTTTAATTTGATGTTAATCTGTTTTTTGTCTATTAACATTGCATGGCTTATTGATCATGTCATGTGAATTATTTATTTGAATTTTTTAGAATGTGCTCTACGTGTTTGTGCCATCAAAACAATCACTTGGGCTTGCATGTGGGGTCACCGGGCCATTCATCGCTTTCTGTGACAGCTAATGAGGGAAGTCAATTGAAATCTCCAATCCAGCAACCAAAGGTATGCGCTTTGCTTTTATTTCATGATTTGCCTGTAGCTACCAAATGCCAAATATATTATTTATTATCATATATTTTTTAATTGAACATGTATTATGAGTATTTGATTGGTTTGCAGAATGCTATTGAAAAGTTGTTAATTTGAGAAATTCACAATCGGCATTATGGGTTTTTTGAGTTATGGCAATTGCTCCTTCTAAGGCTTTGACTGGACCAGCTGCTATGTTTATCCAATGGGTAATCTTTTAAATTTCTCACTAAATCTTTGACTTATTCATCGTAAGACATGTCCTCAGTTGATGGTTTCAAAATCATTTCTTGTCAATATTAAAATAATGTTGACTAGTGAGAGTTATTTTTCGCGAGTGCAAGTTATTAGCTTTCGGATATTTAAAAAAAAAAAGATTTTCTTTATACCGTGAAAGGTTATTTGTGGGTGTTGTTTTTGACTTTTTGTGTTAGTATGAGTGGTGTTTTGAACTGATACAATGAATTATTCAATGCAATTTTATGTTGGTTGTTATAAGAGAATTCTAGAGCACCTGAATAGTTTATATATTATTACTTTTTATTCAACAAACAAAAACGAAAAAATATATATATCACTATAAAGCGGTAGTCGTACATGTGTACCACTAGCAGAATATCATCTATGATTCCCCATTTTTTTTATCACATAACAAATAACTAATAATCTTCGATATGGTTGAATGATGAAACTGAGAAGGTATGGTGATTTGAGGCTATCATACTTTTTCAAGTTCTTAGCCCTTGGACTTTCTCATCCATACCCTCCCCTCCCTTCCCAAAAACAAAATAAGGTGAAGAAAATAAATGGAGCCAATACATGTGATTAATTTTAGAACTTGATTCAATAAGATTTCTTATAATCAATTAGTGGATTATTACATTTATCCATTTATCATTGAATAGGATGTTCCTGGAGACAATACTGATAGACTAATTTCTTGGGTATTGGTATTGCTAGGGTGACATCGTTCTGATCTTAATCTTATTGTGATTATAAGGCAAAGGCATTTGTATTTTATAATTACGGTTTAAATTTTGTATATTTTTAATTTTAATGGATTATGTTTTCTTTATTAAAAAAAAAAAATCGATTACGTACATAACACAAAAAGAAAGGCCATCGTGTTCTTTTTTTTGGATTTGCTGGTTTGATCCGTTATCATCATTGAAGCAATGTTTCACATTGTTGTGTTTAATATTTTCAGTAATAACAAATATAAATTACATTTTACTTTCATGGAGTGGGCGTGCCGGAGTGGTTATCGGGCATGACTAGAAATCATGTGGGCTCTGCCCGCGCAGGTTCGAATCCTGCCGCTCACGATCCTTTTATTCTTTTCAAGTATGGTCAAATCTACCAGTTGATTACCATCACCATTTTATTATTCTTCCTTGTTCAACAACCAAGCAGCACTAATCCTTGTTTTTTTCAATTGTGCTTTTGTTCTCTTATTACCCATAAAATAATCTAAGAAACCATTCTTCTCTACACAAACCCATCGGAGGTAAATGATTTATGATTATTTCAGCTAGCTTTATGTTTCTTAAAGAAACACTTCATGTTTCTTCAGAGTCCGTGAAACACGTTTTCCTTGTATAAACCATATAGACCATGAAAAACAGGTAGAATACGACAACGGGTCATTAAAAATTAGAAAATTGAATTACAATCTTCTATGATGTTGAGATTCAGTCTCATAGCAATGTCGATGATATATTTAAATCAAAGAGTAATGATATGTCTCTATAAATTTATATAATAATTTATACTTCATTTTTATGTTTACTTTTCCATGAATAATAAATATAATAAGTAATATAATGAAAAGAGATAAATAAATAAAAATGTTGCATAAATTATTATTGTACTAGTATTAATTTTTTAAGAAATGATAACTAATATTTAAGTGTAATCTTTTTTATAAAAAAATTATTATCGATGTGTTTTATGATAAATTTTAGAGAAAATAGAATACACACAATGTTGACATCTAATCACACACGTAAAAAAAATCTACTACAAATTATTATTTATATAAATTTTCTTGATTTTGATAATAATTACCTAAGTCATATTAAAGACGGTTTCTAGTTGATTGTCAGAGAATTTTTTTTATAATTTTAATATATTTCTAGCATTTAAAGTGTAAATATAAAATATTTTACATTGTTAGTCAATTAAAATTCAACATTTGGTGTGACTTTTATAGGATAATTAATATCAGAGTTAATAAAATTATTATAAAAGATGAGTTGTGAGTAAATGTGATAGTGTAAAATCAAAACATGTAATTCTTTCTCATAATTCTAATATGCCCTTTTTAAAATTAATATTAATTTCTAAACTAATACTTTAGAGATATTAGTGAGTACGGCTTTATGGTTCCATTTGATACACAATGAAATACAACATGGACAAATTATGTTTATTTTATTGTGTGAATTGTTTAGTAGACAATGGATAATCCTAACAAAATAATGTAAAATTTAATAGATTATTTTTCTTAATATTAATTATTTGAAAACAAATCATATTAATATGACAATAATAATAATGATAATGACAATAATAATAACAATAATGATAATAACATTAATAATAAAGATAATTATAATAGCATAATAATAATAGTGATTGTAATTAAGAATAAATAGATGGATCAAGGTCTATAAGTGAATTGTAAATTTCATGGACATCGTGGATAATAAATATTTTATTTTTAAATTTATATAATTATGTTTAATTTTTTAGTATTGTTCGTGAAGTTTGCAAATTTTGTAGATTTCACTAATTAATTTATCATATATTAAGACTTTAATATTTAGTTTTTTATTAAAAAAATAAATTAAACTTAAATATGATTTTCGTTCTTTAAATTTAAAAAATTATTCTTTAAATTAAATATTATTATTTCTAGTCTTTATAATTTTTAAAAATAGTAATCAATAGATAAAACTTATGCAATAGTATTTGACTAAAAAATGATTTTGCAACATTAGTTTTATTCAAACACATTGAAATTTCGGTAACGTGATTTTAGGTATTAATTTTTCACAGTTTTAGTTTTACGTTAAAAAATTAATTTTGTCCAAAATTGATTTTGACTTAAAATAATTTAAGTAGTTTTTGCTTTATATAAATAATTTTATACTAATTTTTACAACAATTTTTTTATTAAAAACAAAAATATCCAAATATATACTACATTACTTCAAAATCATTTTTATAAATGTTCATTTAAAGATACCCTTGCTGATAAGATATAGTGTAGGAAAACGTGAAGATTGAATTCTAAGAAGAGTCACTAAAATTGAATGTACTTTTAAGATTAAAAAACAATATAGAGCGACTAATTTCAAATTATTGAATAAGGACACCTTATTAGTGGGAATAAAATAATGTATAAATATGTTACACCATTAGTGCACCCTTCACTGATTATCGCCATTAATGCTAATGGCCTGCGACAAAACTAAGTCATTGTCATCATATCTAATCGAGTGATGTTAAATCGTCTTACAAAATTTATATAAAAAAAATTATAGTATTTTAGTTATAAAAAAAAAACATTACATGGATGAAAAATATATTTAATATTTAAAAAAAACATAGTTTTATTTTTTAGTAAGAGAACTAACATAAATGAATTTCACTGAATAAAAAATAAAGTAAATAGTATTAATAATTTATGGAAAAATTAAATATTCATATTTTAACATATTAATTAATTATGATTTACCATATATATACGTGCACAAAATTAATATTGACCATTTATTTTTCATTAAGTACTAAATTTATTTACTTTCCACCCTATACAGAATTATTCACACATTTTAAATGAGTGAGAAAAATGAAACAATAGCCGTTAAGAAAAGTAATTGATATCTCAATATATTTACAATTTATTATGTACGAGCGAGCACATAATAATATTAATTATTGAATTTTTCATCAACGATTGAAATTAGATTCACTTATTAAATGAGTCTAATAAAAAAAAACAATGAGTAGAAGTAAAGTAAGTATTATTAATAATTGACCAGAAAATTAACCGTTCATTTTTCTATTTAATACTTCATTATGCATGTATACATAATATTGATTATTGTTTTTCTCAAATTGTAATTACATATTACTTCTGTTTTTTTTAATAATTTAAAATTATTATATACAAATAAAACTAATACTTTTTTCTTCTGTTTTTTTATAAAATAATTAAGAAAGTAATATGCAATTAAATAAAAATTAAATATCAAGAATTAAAAATAAAAAAGTAATTAAGATTGTCTTAAATTTTAAAAATGATAAATAATTAAATAAAAATATTTTTTGTCAAAATATCAACAATTGAAAAGAAACGAGATTAACTTATTCTTTAGAGTGAATTGGTTTGAGAATCAACGTCCGCAAGAGGATTTAGAAAAATTTCTGAATGAATCCAACTAACGTTCTCTTTTAATGGACTCAAATTGCAGGTGTCTAACACCATCCCCAGTTGCACATGTTCTGCATTATCGAAAGTTGTTTTCCCATCACGGGGAGGCTTATCACATTAGAAAATATTTTATTTACATTCCACTGATGACAAGTAAATCACAACAATTAACATTAATGTGGCCCTCACTTATTGGGACCTTGAAACCTTTTCAAAATCACAGTTCAGGATGTGAAAACTAGTACGCAACACTAAAGTGAATTATGATATTGTTTATCTTATTAGCCACTTTACACCTGACAACATGTATAGAAACCACAAGAGATATACCCTTCAAATCAATACTTGTGTACAACCAAGCTGGTCCAAGCACATCCTCAAAAATTTGTCATCTTTTTGGGTTTCTTTACAACAGTTTGCTGCCACTTATGCTTTGGTTTTATGATAATATTAATATCTAAGAATATGCCATTCCAAAGTGATCGGAAAAAAGTTTGCCGATGAGACCAACATTATCAAGATAAACATTACAGGAGATAATTTGGGGAATAAGTAAAGATTTGGAAGGATATATATGCTCTTGTACTATATATTTTATGGAACGCCTGAAATAGTGGCATAGTGCTTTTATTTTTGTTTTATCAAATAAAACAGAATAGTTGCAGAACAATCATAA